CATGCATACATTACATACAAAGAAGTAATGATCTGAGTAAGGTCGTAGCTTCAGTGAGTAGAGTCCTATGATTACTCTTGTCTGTCCGGGTGACCATGGTAGAAATAGCCACCATGCTTGGTTGAACCAGTCGTCTAATCAGGGGGCCGAATGTCAGCCGCGGGAGGTCGCAACGAGCATCGTAGCCTTCGAAGCGGCGCGTCACCCGAACAGCTCCTCGCAGAGATCAAAGTAGTTGAATCGTCCGCAATCCAATTGCCCGCCCTCCGCCAGCACCCTTTTCAACTGACCTGAGCATGAGGTGCCAGTAGAGAATCGGCATGAACGTGGCCTTGACCTGGTACATGGTCCAGCGCTCGCGGCGCTGGTCGAGCGGGAAGGTCTCGAGCGGCTGGCCGTCGAAGTCGAACTCTGCCAGCACGCAGCGGCCGCGCGCCGTCACCAGCGGGCAGCTGGTGTAGCCGTCGTAGCCGCTGGTGGCGCTCTCGCGGCCCCGCATGGCCGCCGCCAAGCCGGCGTGCACCACGGCCGACTGCGCCGCCACCGCCGCCGCCGTCTTGGACGTGGGCACGTTGGTGCAGTCGCCCACGCCGAACACGTTCCGGAAGCGCGCGTGGCGCAGCGTGGCCCGGTCCACGGCTAGGTAGCCCGACGCCGGGTCGGCCAGCGCGGCGCACTCCCGCAGCGCGTCCGGCGGGCCCTGCGGCGGCGTCGCGTGCAGGAAGGAGTACTCCAGGGTGGTGCGGCGCTCCGGGTGGTCCAGGTCTCGGAACACCGCCTGCTTCTGCTCGGCCTTCACCTGCGCACCACCACGGCCAGCCGGTGAGGGGCGGTTCCGGGGGCGTCAGCTACTTAGGTCAGTCAGCTCGGATGTTTAGTGCATGCTGTATCCCGAGAGGTGGCGGTGTCCCCCCTCCGCTGGTACGACGTGAAAGCCAGCGAAACGCTTCAGTTTGTGGAGTGATCCCCCGGTCAGAAAATCTCCCCCAACGGTGCACCGACAGAACCGGGATAAGCTCTTTACTCCCGACTAGTCACTCGACATGGCTTGTCGTTTGACATGCCATTGCTGAGTGACAGTGTGTGTGGCGGTGTAGTGCTTGGAAGTGTAAGGGAGGAGAGGCAATAAGAATGAGGAAGGAAAAACTGCGTTCGGTTCATGACCCTCTTGTTAGGGTACTGCTCCGGCGTTTGCCTGGTACTGATTGAAGAAACTACTGAAAACTACCGATCCACTACCATTTATGCCGGCCTCAAGAATTCACCGTCAGACACTGGATGGCTTTGACCCAGTTACAGCCGGTGTCCAAAATACGCCACAGTCGAGATCCGAACGCTAGGATCCCGCAGTCAACGACCGGCGTAGGGCATCAATTGATGTCATCGCAGTGCCTCCGACCGGGAGGTCCTAGGGTTCGAGTGCCGACCGTGAGAGGATTTTCGACGCTAACTTGCTGGATAGACGGGTTGCTAGATAGATAGCTAGGTCGAATTCAGTCGCTATCTGTAGGAGAATTCTTGCGGTCGGCCACTCAGATCGGTACTTTTCCGTGATTTCTTCGGGCAACACCGGGTTAATGCCGGAGCAGTTCATTAAAAAACGGGCAACGGAGCGCGCACGATCATTCCTCCCCCGTGTCCTATCGTCACCCCTTATTTACACACACACACACACACATTGTATGCTCTACACCACAACAAATGACGGAAGCTTAAGAGTTTGTCCTGGCCAGGGGGTGCCATGCTGGTGGAAGATATCTGGATGGGGAAAATCCCGCAAGCCGATCCATAGGTCGGCGCCAGATCTTCCCATCCAGCGGGGGAAGAATACAAGCACCTTTCTTGATACAACGTGCACCACACTTACGGGAAAATGACCATAGCAGTTGACGTGCGTCTTCCCCTTCTCTCTCTCTCTCTCTCTCTCTCTCTCTCTCACACACACACACACATCCCCCTCACTCCTCTGTCCCTGTCCATCGTGCGCACCTCGACAAGCTCGGAGCGCAGCGCCACGTGGATGTCCCGCTCCTTGACGATGGGCCAGAGGGCGTTGGCGTAGTGCTTCACGCCGAAGATGTCGGCGAGCGAGGTGTGGTAGTGGAGGCGCACGGCGTCGCGGCGGCCCGCGCGCCGCAGGTGGTCGTCGGCCAGGTAGAGGATCTTCTGCGGCGCGCCCGCGCACTTGATGGGCGTGTTGGGGAAGGTGAAGAGCGCGCAGCCTTCGCGCAGCTCCCGTAGCGCCGCCCACGTCTTCTCTACGTGCAGCGGCGAGTAGTTGGAGCCCACGCCCGACCCCGGCAGCGCCAGCGCCTCCCGCAGCCCAGGCACGTCCTGCGCGCACGCGCAATTCGAATTAGTGACGCTACATAGATGATATCAATCATCCAAGTTTAAAATTAAGACATCGATGAAAATAGTTGGGAGGCGTATTTTGATGACCTAATAATCCGTCCAAAAAGGATCAGTAATATGATCTTTAAATGATTTTAAAATGCCCTAAAAGCAAAGAAGAGTGGCGTAAAAATTTGACCAAAACCAGTTCAGATGAAGAAATCAAGCTTTTGGGTATGTTACTCATCTAATCGAGGCTTCTTCCTTTCGTCCAAGTGATCTCAGCTCGTAAACGTTTGGTTTTGACTGTTCTTTACCAGAAAATATCTCTCTTTAGTTATCACGAAATCTGCCGAACCGACAATGGCGCTGATAGACGTCACAGAAACTTAGATTACGTACTTACATCGACTATTACAATTTCTGAGCGAAGAAATCGAATGGATTAGTCAGAAATTGTCTTAGAAAACTATGCAGCTTCTGGACATGTGAGGAATGTCTGTTTCCGTTAGATATCCAGGAACTCGGGGTAGGAGAGGAAGTCGATTTTGATTGAAAAACGCAAATATTTGATTTATTATTCCGGCAATTCTGACTCTTCGCGTACCGACTCATTCAGTACTCAGGGCGCCTCTGCTTAAGATCAACCTGACGTCATTCTACAGCAAGGCTTGAAGGACGAGGCCGTCCGCTATTAAATTTTTGCTATGCCTATGCTGCGTTATGGAACAGCAACTTTTTGATATTATTGAGTCTTTAGAAATACAGTACATATTACTGAATTATTCGTGAAGACTGTTTTTGTTAAAATATTTAATTTATTGTCATATTATATGCACGGGCATTTTATTTGTTGTTGAGCAGTGTGCGTGCGACGTTTTGGAAAACCATTTTGTGTGATTTTGTTCAGGAGTATTATTGCAAGTGTAGACCACTAGTAAACTATTATTCTTTTTGGATTTATATTCTTGCACGCCACGAATCACCTCGTTTCTTTTCTACCTAAAGAGTACCCATTCTAAAATGCCATTCCGAATAGTAAAGTTTGTAACTTTATATTTATGATATTTCAAATGCCTTCAACTCGTCAAAAAGTAAATGACCCGAACCTGAGTCAGAAACGATAGCAATTATTACCTATTTGAAACGTGGTGAGAGAACGTTATTACTCACTCATAGCTGAGTTGAGGCCAACGATCGTCGCGCTATATGCTCGGGCTCCTTTTAAACGCAGCACAATGAACTACTCGCTCCCTTTCACAAGGACGTCCAGGCCCGACAAGTAAATTATGTGTTGCGTAAGAGTTTTAAATGAAGATACTAGTAGTTATAATAGTTAATAGGGTATAATTTACGCGGTTAATACATTATTTATTTTAATTTTGATTCAACATTATAAAAACCTTTTTTTGATCTCCATTTCGCCGTTAAAATCGACTCTCCTCTTTAAAATCTTCGTCCTATTCAATCAGGATGCTCGACGCAATGTTTCTCTCTTTTTTCTAATACTCCCTTTTGTTACTTAAGCCCTTCATGCAAATGACACTGCCTTATTCCCATCTAATTGAAAAGTAAAAATTGCACGTAATATTATACAAAGTGACATCCAAAAAATATATAATTGGATACACGCTAGGATAATTAGTATTACTGCCAGTAAAACTCACGCAAAAATGTCTATCCTCAGCCGTCCTTGTAAAAATCTTCCACTTTTTAATAATATTACCATTCCTTGACTTGACAATAATATTAAAGTTAAATATTTAATATATTTGAAACAAATAACCTCACTTTCAATTCATCATTGAAACATTTACAAATTAATTCATTAATTAGCAAACATTCTAAATTACGAATTGATATATTATATAAATCTATAATTAGACCTTCTCTTTCACATGCTTCTACCAGAACTCATTTATAATTTACAAATTACTCCAAATATATGATATGTGCAAAGTAAACAGGAATTCTTTACATTCCACAACCGCTTAGCAGCAAATATGTAATGACGGGCAGCCTCTTCCTTAAAGCCTCACTGTAGATTTTGGACAACTGTGCCGTAAGCAGTGACACACTGACTATTAGAATTGAGCCGGTACGCGCATTACGAAAAATAGGCGGAACAAATATTTGCAAAACTTCCATAGAATTCGGATTTTTCTCGAGTTGCTGGGTATCTAACGAAATCATATAAACCTCTCACATGGCCGGAGTCTGCACAGTTTTCTTTCAATTTCTTGTCGTATTAGAAATTAGTGAAAAGTAAATTAGAGAAATAGCGAAATTAGGAAAATATAAATGTCTATGAGTGTCTCTGCCACCGCCCCGGGAGCCCTTGCCGTCTTCACTCCTCTCCTCTGCATCTCAACGCCCCACAATTTCTCTGCCAACTCCCGGCGCATTGCAGCGTATTATAGAGGATACTTGAATTGCGCAGTGCAGCTATGTTTTCTAACGCTAACATTTTAGGCGGGTAACCTACTGCATCAAACTGCCTCAAATGACGACAACAATCCATAGCTTTTCCGTGACATTAAGCATGGGTATAAATTTAAGGGATATTATTAAGGTTTAGACATGCTATACTTTTAGCTTTGTCTTAACATTTTAACAGTTTTAAAATCGTTTCGTGAATTTAATTTGTTTTTTTATTGTTCTTACAGACCCGTGCTTAATAATGTGGCCAATCTATCAATGTCATGTGGCGAATGTGATTTATTAAGTTTTAAATATATTTCTGATGAAATTATTGAATTTCTTTAATCCTAATATTTGGGAGATTGGGGCCTCAGAGGCCTATCGATGACTTTTTATAGGTTTAATTTTTTACTAGTCACTTGAATATTAGTATCATGAATCAATTGAATATTCAGAATACTATTTGAAAACAATTGTATACTCTGATTTAAACATAATGACACTTAAAAGTCACTAGCTGGACGGAGAGGAGGACATTGCCATCCAATCGGTAGCTTCGTTAGATTTGACTTAATTTTTGGTACTGGGGCTCCTGATTGGATTACAATATCCCCCTCTCCTTACAGCTCATGACCTTCAAGTGACACTACGTTTGAATTGGAGTATAATATTGCGAGTCTTGCGAATATTGCGAGTATAATATTGTTTATTAGACAAACATGATATGGAGATTCATCGGCCTTTTTGATATGAAAATGTAATAGGTTTTCGACATTAAATATAAATAATGAAGCGAGAAAATGGACTTGTTGCATTTGCAGAGCCAGAAATTGAATAGGGTAATGCTTTTGTTTAACTTTAAATGAATGCACTTGTATTTTTTTGTACCGTTTTTGTATTTTTTTTACATTATCAAAATCATGAAAAACATCGGTAAAAAAAATGGGCTCTGGAGTCCCCCTCCTTCGAGATAATGCACGCGTCCATTTTCACCTTTGCATTGCTTCGGTTCATTACCCAGAAACAACTATTTCAATACAAAACACCATAGACCGTGTTGCCCGTCTGAAAGTCAAAATTAGCGCCCACGTGCAGAGCCGGCGCACCTCAAAGCGCAACTGCAGGCCCATGGCGACGATGAGGTAGTCGTAGCGCAGGCGGCGGCCGCCGGCCGTCACCACGAGGTCCTCCTCGGGCCGGAAGGCGGCGGCGGCGTCCTGGATCCACTTGGCGCGCGCCGGCAGCACCTGCCGCATGGGGCGCCGCGACGCCGACAGCGGCTTCACCCCGCCGCCCACCAGCGTGAACATGGGCTGGTAGTAGTGCGTGTCCGCCGGCTCCAGCACCACCACCTGCCGCAAACACACACAAGCGCACAGATCGCACAACTCGGTTCATTAGTGTTTCCGGGCGCGTCAACGTTCATCAACGTTCCGTAAGTGTGGTGCATGTTTTATCACGGGAAGTCGAGGTGATCTGCACCAGCTAGGAGGCGAGATTCGGAAGTGACCTACACGACGTTTAGCGGGGTTTTCTCCAACTAGGTATCACCAGTGGGGTCACTGCCCCCGCGGGACAACTTGTGAGCTCCCGACATGTGTGGTAGTGAAGTGCGTGTGTGTGTAAGTGGTGAGGATAGAAAAGGGAGGGGAAATATCACGAGCGGTCTGTGGCCTGTTTGTTAGGGATCTACTCCGGGATTCGCCTCGTATTAATAGAAAAAACCACGGCAAACTACGGATCAGAGCAGCCGGCCGCTAGAATTCTCCCCCAGATCGTGAGCGTCGGAATTCCACCTAGCCCATCGACGGTGGCGGATTTTCGATTCTAGCCGGAGAACTAGAATGGAAACTCCGCCGCCGCCTTCACTGGAACTCCAGGTGCTCGCGGGGGAGGCAACGTACCTGACCGGGGCCGAGGGCGCGCGAGAAGCGGGCGGCGAGCGCGCAGCCGCCGGTGCCGCCGCCCACCACCAACAGCCGGCAGCGCTCCTCCGCAGGCGCCTCCCGCGCCGCGGACGCCGACGCCAGCCCGCGAACACCTGCGCACCACGCGCAAAGCGACTCGTTTATTTATTTCTTTTCTTTGACAAACGGGGTGAACCTTTTACAAGAGAGAAAACAGTACATGCATAATGACAAGAATGTACAAGAATCAATATCAAAGTTGAAATAAAGTCATTGCTATAAAGCAAACAGGAATTTCAATAAAGTCACAGCAATAAAAAAGGCCAAAGGCGTTGTAAAAACATATATTTGGTATATGTGAAGTAACCTCCAGATAATGGACCTGTTATTGGTTTTTTGACCCGTTGAAAATTGTATTTGTAAGGTTCTTGAATTTAGACCGTAAGTAGGGAACGATTTTTCATATTATTACATATTTTCTACAGGAACAAAAAACTTAAATTCAATAATATGTTTTAGAGTTTATAAAACGTTCTGAATGAATTAAACCGTTTTTTATTTTCCATATTTTTACATATTTTGGTGTAATAAATATTTCACCTGCCTCGTGGCTAGCTCTTGGTCAGCGAGCTTGCTTTCCACTATGCTGCCCCGGGTTTAATTCCCGGTCAGGCAAGATTATAGCGTCAATTTTCCTTGCTACGTCGAAGTACATGTTGCTGTGTGACGATGAGAAAATTCACTTCTCAGGTTGAGAAGACCGGAATACGGCTTGGGATGTCACCGTGTTAACCACGCGTACCCTCTTAACCCTTGGCCGCGAGGCAGGGATGTCGCCGCTAGGCCTGAGCCCGTTGACGGGCTGTCGCGCAAGTACATACATACTTACGTTCATACATAAGTATTTCACTTAGTACTTCTTACTCTACAGAGTACACCTGATGAAGTGGCTACAATAAGCCATGAGGCGTTGTGCATTGTGATTATACTTTCAATGAAATACATCTCACTATTATATTTGAAGTTGATATTAATAGTTTTTAATTTACACCTAATTATACTAATAACAAATTCAAAACGGTCTACCACTATACGTACTACTTAATACTTCCGGGTCAATTATCCCCATCTTGATCAGCTTTTTTGTCCAGTTTCCCTGATCCATTGAGCAAATGCTGAGATGGCCCCTTGTTTTGCTCCTGTACGTAAGTGTAACTTAACTATGCGCACGTTCTGTTGAACTCTCTTTTTGCTTGTAATGATAGAAGAAGAGGTAAGGGCGAATTACTATTTTGTTAGCAATGCATAAAAATCATACTTGCAATTCGTTTACCGATGCAAATAAGTTTTCTGTAACTCGGAAACGAAAATTTCTATTTTTTTCAAATATTGCTAATCTTACGCTTTTTTAAAATTTATTTTTATTTATTTATTTTAAACTTCTACTCATCTTTCAACTATTTATAGTTAAAATGACGGGAAGGAATTCTGGAACTCAAAAAAAACATGCGCAGTTAATCTTATCCCCCATACGCCACACACAGTTTTTACTGTTTTTTACTAAATAAATCTAATCTAAATAAATCTAATGTTAAATCATGTTTTCGAAAACAATAGTCATTACCATGGAATTGCTCATACTTCTGAAAGCTGGTTGTAGATAATCAATCCGAGACCAGAAACGTGGGTCCATGGTTAGAAAATTACAAGACTAACGCAGAACTGTCAATGCTATTACTATTTTAGAAATGTTCTATCACACATATTTCAGCACTAGTTAGCCAACATCGTCATATTTTCCATTCTCGTTCTCCAGCAAAATCTTGAGATTGTGTACCTCCATGTTATAACACTTTTAAAACACAAAAGTTAGCAAATAAACAAGAACATAACACTAAAGCCTTGACAACCCCTCCTCGCAACATTCAATAATAAATGCCCTGAAAATAGCAGGTGCTTCCAAGTTATATATTTATTGAGGGCATTTAGAAGATGTTTTTGCCCGGTTACTTACAAGTCTCCTGAGGTACAAAAACATTAAGTATTGTTCGTAGTGCATACAAAACTTTATGGTGCACTAATTCTTTATTGAATCAAATGAGAATTAGAAACATAATTAACTTTTTTAAATCAAAAGTGAAAAGAGGCATTCTAATCATCAGATGTCAATATGGCGTCAGATAAACAAACCAGAGTGCGCATTAAATTGCTAACACTGCGTACTTGTTGGAAAAATTTGTTCATACAAAGTCGAAGAACATTGTGAAGTTTCTACAGAAAGACTCGAAAAAGCAAACATATGAAAAGGAGTATGGTATAGTTTGAGAGTTGGTTGGAAACTGTATGAATTGCATAAATGAAATAATACTTTTATTTTATTTGCATCTATTGCCGACAGCTATTCAGAAGATTCCGTCACATCAAAATGGTTATTTATATGATAGAGAAGTACAAGTGAAATATTTTGGGACTAGGAAAGGTTGCGTCACGAGGTAGTGGCGCAAATCTACGAGCAAAATAAAATAACTTCTACCACTTGTGCCATGTACTATTTTTTAGACAGGCCAATTTTATTTTAATACAAATCACTTTAAAATACATTAATATCAGTAATAGATGATACGATCAGACGAAAGTATTTTGTTTCCTTTGTTGCATTCATATGAAGGCTTGAGAGCCATCTCACTTTTAGCACTAGTCTCTACAAATTTAACTTTTTTCACGCAATACATGCCCTGAAAGATCCGCATTTACTATAGATATCTAAAAATTCGTGAATGTTGCCGGTATGTTTTGTACATGTTACTACTAGTAGTAGTACCGTCTATATAGTATTTGGTAATACCATTATCCATGAAGAATCTGTTATACAAGAAAATGTAATACGCAACAGTAAAATAAAAGTGACAAACGGGAATTTAAAATTCACGAGAACATTGTAATTTTCACATTATTTGAACAAAATAATGTTTGCATCTAGTTATTTTTCTTATTTAAGTATTAAACAATTTACTTATATTTAAATGTTTCTTACGTTTAAAAATGTAATTAAAAAAAGTTATTTGCTGGTAGCCAAATGGCAATAAAGTATTCAAAGGCCCTGCGTGGGCATTAAGAATCCGTAAGGACCGTAAAGATGTAGTATACCATTATGTGTTTACTTTCAGAGCCATGTCGTGAACACACAGTAATGAAATAGTAAACCATAAATAATGTCTGGAAGATTTTATTGTTATTTTTCATTTCTATCACATTCTATTACGAAGGTATAGTTTAGTATAAACATAGTAGATGACATCGATAATTGCAGAAGTGTGTATACCACTTATGTTCTTTACTTGTTATTTGAGAAAATTTTGAAATTTGGCCTGCGAAATATGTCTGCGTGTATAATCCACAAATACAAGTGAAGTGACCGATTTCAAAATAACCTTTTATCAGATCATATGGTTATTTATTCAACATAAAACCCATTCAATTATTTTTACAATGTATGTCTGCTCGTTTGTCGAATAATCTCTGGAGCGGCTAAACCACAGAATGGTATCCTTCCTGCGGCTAAAACGCTATCGATGGGATTTTCATTAAAAGGTCAAGTATTGAGCATAATTTACGCTTCTCTTGTTCAGTTTTTGTTTTCTTAAAGAAATTGTGTACAATCAAAAAATAAAGTTGTTGTATACATGAGATTTCGTAATAATTACGAACTCCCTTTCATGTCCCTTAAAAAAGAGTTTAGTAAGTGCGCACTTTTTCTGTGAAGAAATGTCCTTGCACACTCTTTAATATACAACACCTTTTTTTGAGTTTATGTGCATTTAAAAATAATGATATGAAAAGTTGTTCTAGAGGTACAAAAGGGGTTACTACAAATCAAATGTTGGAAAAGTTCCCAGCGAGGTCGTTTTGGATGTTTGATATGCCAATTTCCACATGTCTGAACTTCAATGAACTGGAAGATTTTTGGCTTTTAGGATAGAGCGGTTTGTTTGGCCTCGCCCTACGTCGTTGTACAGAACTATTCATTTTCGCAACCTTGGGAAACATTTCTTTTTTCCGTTATTATTAAAAAATTAAACAAAGCTTACTTGCACAATTTTTTGTGCTATTTTCAATAGAACAAAATCAATTTTTAATTTATTAATATATAGTGGCTAAATTGCAGCAAAGTCGCATAAAAATAGTGTTTAAAAAATTATACTTAAACATTTAATAGCTTCTGAGCAAGAAATAGGAAACTTAGCTTAATATTGGGCCTGAATGTATAATTTCAACCTCCTTGTTCTTATCACTTACTCACAAATGATCTTTAAAATTAATGATTTGGGCATTTTTCTGCAATTTTGTTGCAATTTACCCACTGTGTATTAATAAATGAAAACTTCATCTGCCATCTTAAATGACGTCTGAAGATAAAACCCGACCACAATGTTTGATGGTATCCTGCACTTTCATATGCACTTGGTGTCATAATAATTAAGGTACACCTGGGATAGAACGGCTAATTTCTGGTAGACTTGTGGATATTAAAAGGCAAGAAATCCTCGCAGCAACGGCAGAAAAACGCTCTTCAGCAGTACAAATTCATGCGAGTCCGGTATGGGGATGCGGAAGTTACGTTAACACACTTAGGGACACAAGAGGGTGATACGCTTGGTTCAGGGTCAGGGGGCGGATGCAACCTAGATTGAAAGACTCGAATGGTAATGGCATCTGTGTGCTTTGCGGTGATAAGGAATATTGGATTTTCCTTTTAAATTGCTATACGACCGAAACATGGAGACGACAATGGATGGAAATGGGAAACTACTACTTCCAACATCAAAACGCAACGCTCGCCCAGAACATATTAAGTGATATAAGGTCTCATTTCATGAAACCATTAGGGAAAGGGAAATTAGGGAGTGGGAAAATAGCATTGGTTAATTTGAGCGGAGCCTACACTGGAGAGGAAATAAATAAGTTAATAAGCAAACAATGAATAAGTTAATCAGTAATTTAAGTTAGTAAACTGTTACGAAAATAAGTCATAGTCAACTGTTAAATAATAAGTAAATAAAAAAGTAAATCAATAAAGAAATAATAATAAAATAAAACTGTCAAATAATTAAATAAGCCCAATAGGGGGCGTCGGAAATGTAGAAGTGTAGAGGCGGTGGTGAGGACGATCTGAGGCGGTGTTTGATTTCAGGTGCTGAAGAGGCCAAATACTGGAAGGTGACTGCGTGACATCCGCGCCAGGAAATAAATAGTTTCAAAAAGTCTAGTAGATTAGCATATATTCCACTTTTGAAGGTAGGTTTTTCCCCCGTCAGGGGTTTTTTCCTCAGCCTTATCTCCACGGCGTTGACGCGCAGGAGAGGGATTTGGGGTGAATACCAGAATTCGAACGGTTAGAATGCGGTAGGATGTAGGTATTGCATTGGCTTAAAGGCCTTCGGTCTACCCACATAGTATCAAATTATTTAATTTTTATGTGTAACCTATTAAATAAAAAAAGAATCAGAAACAGAGTCTGGAAGGTTTTGCGTAATCGGGCACCAATACAGCTTCTCTAAAACAATTTTATACTCAATTCGTTTTGATTTATTCCAATTAAGATTCAATAATTTGGGAAGAAATATTACTGGACATTTTTCGGGGCCTGCAGCAATGCATGTTTACATCTGTTGGTATAATATCGATTATCGTAGCAAACCTATCGAGGCAATGCGAGCCGAGGCGAAGTGAAGTGAGGCAGGGTGGGGCTGATCAGAGGGGCGACAAATTGTTATGTATCATACATTTATTTTTGTGACAGATTATTGTGACAAATAAATACCCGGGCAACGCGAGTCACGTACTTTAGTTAGTCTACAATCTAACATTTAACGAGAACTGAATGGATATATTTACAGCGAGAGTTGATTTAGACATCGACAGGCTTACGAGTCAGCTTGGTGTTATGGGTGAACGCTGAGTTTTGAAAGTTCCATAAAACTTCATTAAACTACTCCAAAGGATACCTTGATCTGTTACAGATTAACTGATATATGAATGAAGATTGTAACTTCCTTACACCGAATTTATTTCAATTAAGTATTAGTCGATAACCTGTCACTTTAGTTAAGTATTCAGTATTCACTTAAGTATACGATCGTCCGTAATATAAGTATTTAATGTCAAATATTTATAAAATTGATAGCTTACCCCTCAGTGCCTTTGACCAACCATTAAGCCAACGCGTCAGCATCATGTTATGTGGTTCGCAAGTATCAATTGCTCGTGTGTCGGAAACGAGCCATTTTATAAAGTAAGAGACAAAAGCATGAGCCAGTTGAGCCAACATAATATTCACCGTTATTTTGGATACATATATGAGATTTACATTAATTTAATTAATGAAAAAATGAGTAAAATCCTATCAGCCGTTTTTTCTTCGTGTGAGTTTGATAAAAAAATATTTCTTAATAAGATGAAATAATCCAAATACCAAGTGTGATCTAACTACACTATTACAAACATAATCACAAATGAAAATTGGGGGGTGAAAATTAATAGAAAGAAATGTAAAAATAATTTATTCTTTTTTAATTAACTAATTTTACTACTTCAAGTAATATATGCAAATAAAATAATAAAACATAGTTTTATTGTCTCCCTCATGGTGACTACAAAATCGATAGTTCAATTTTCTAGTTATCTAAAATAGTAGTTTATGCAACTAGTTTATAATATTAAGCTTTATTGCATGAGTACATGTTTTCAAAATGAACGACTTTCGGAGCGAGTTTTCAAATTTGTACGAATGTAATAAACCAACATTATAAACGATATTTATGCCATATTTTTTGCATAACAGCATAAGAGAATCAAACTTAATTTTGCGAAACAACTTCCTTGTGACGACTCGGGTATTTGACATCGTGCGAGTAAAAGGTAGTCGCCTGTTCGGTTTAGCTCTACCTCCCCCGATCCTCTCGCTACGATTGGCTGAATGTGTGATGACGCAATCATTCGTGACATAAAATCTAATACGACATCACTTGTGCCGTAAAATGCCCAATTATGAACGATTTCTTGTATCAGAAAAGGTTCTTTTATAATGCTGGAATAGAAAAAAGAAATTTACAACTTTCGTTATCTTCAATCGTGTTAAATGCACGCGCCACGTTCCCGTATTGCTGCTGCCTTGGATATTCGTGCGCTCTTGTTGAGGCCGAACAGCGAGGCCAGGGGCGCGAAACTATTGCAGTTTGGACGTCACGGAATACTTTTAGAAATTGATAGCTACGGAATGAAATATTTTGTATCGATGCCGACCACGAATACCACCGCATAACCGTGCAACTCGTGAGTTATGAATGTTGAAAGAGCATGACCTGTTCAAAACAACTGGCGCTGGTTTCACATAACATGTCTGTAGTGACTGAATTATTTTATTTCAAACATATAGTTATGGTATGTGTAATTTGTATTGAACATTTGTCAAAAATTATTGTATTTTATATTTTTCTATGAATCTTTTTATATTGATTTTGTCGTGATAAAACCAAAGGCATAATGTAATAAAAGGCAAGTCCGTTATTTAGTTTTATTTTAGATGGCTTTATTTTTAGGTTTTCATTAAATGTCGCTGGATATTAGACGAGATGATAATTCCTTAACTAGTTTAAGAAATATGTTGCTAGTATATTTTTTCTATCAACTTCGGGTGTAACATCGGTCCTATTCAAAATTTCAAATTTATTTTCGCATAAATATTCAAATACAACTTACGACTACGATATTTAAAAGAAAAAAATGCGTATGTTGAATTTGACCAGTTGAACAAAGTTCATGAACTATGTCCGAAAACGGCACATTATTACCAACACTCCAATTGGATGGAACACTCACACCTTTGGATGACATCTACACTGCCATTAATTAAATTTTGAATTCAACTTCCTTTTCTTTCAATCAGAAAGTTTATAGTCAGATTGATGGATCACCAATGGGTATTACACTATCACCATTATTTACAGAGTTTTTGATGCGAGATTTAGAAAATCAATATCTCATTCTTTAGATTTCACAAGTACATATTTTGGAAGGTATCTTTTGTGTCATAATAAGTAACAAAATTGACAGTATTTTACAATTTTGTAATCATTTGTCCAACATATTCTAAATTAAAGTTCCTTAAATTTATCAATCAATATAATTATACAATAAATCAATATGATTTTTAACTGAATTTTGTTGTTATTGAAGTTAACTACATTTGTAAACTGTTAACAAACAGATAAATAAAATCAATTTACTGGTAAAAATCTATTTTTTAGTCGAGTCACTCTCTAAACTAAAAAGTTATTACAAATTTGTGTAATTGTCATTACTTGCATTTACTTACATATTTACTTAAATAGTTATTTTTTAATGTTATGTTTATCATTATCTAGTCTATACCTGATGACAACCCATACCAAGGGCTGAAACGTGTTAATATATAAAAAAATGAAAATTGAAAAGCTGGCTAATAATTTCAATATAAGAAAAAATAATTTCAATATGAGTAATTATTTTGACGAACATATTAAAATAACACGAAGAAATTGATTTCATTAGTTGCTACACTCTTAACTATTTTACTCTTACTCTTTTAATAAGCGTAAGTATAAACGTTTAAGGTAGATGTATTCTTGAAATGCGATGTTTCATCGAGATGTATTTATTGAATATTTATCAGGGTTGGCTGTGCTTACCTTGCCTACCCCAAGGAGCGACTACGGGTTTCAAGTGAAGGATGACCGGCGTCTTTTGTAGCAAACAAGATCGTCATATTTTTTTCCCTTAAGCAAACTCGTTTTATTTCAAATGTCATGTCGAATTGCATTTGCAGCAAACCTATGTTTCAGTCACGAACCCTTCTCTGATCCTTAACAATTTTTAAATCAATAAAGCTTGAAATACCTATTGCATTTTCTGTATTAGCAATTTATTAGAGAGAGAGCGCAAGATTAACATAAAATTGCTGAGTACTACGTTCAGAGCTGCGTGAGAAATAATGTGCAGACTGCTTGGTTCGTTAAATTAATATAAAGCATACAGTATAGGCTAACTCAAACCATCATTCTCCTTATTTTTTGCCTTTTTCTTCGTCTTTTCTTTCTCTTTGTTCTCCGTCTTTCTTCCCACCTCCTTGTTCTTCTCTCTTCTTTTCTCTTTCTTCTTCCCTCATTCTTCTCTTTCTTCTGTTCTTTTTTATCTTCTTTCTTCTTTTCATTCTTTTTTCCTTTCATCTCCTTATTTCCCCCTTCCTCTTTCCATTCTCCTTTTCTTTTTGTTCTATAAGTAAATAGCGACTTCATTTCATACTTACCGGAAGCTACGTAGCTAGCGGCGGATTTGTCAGAAGCCTAAACCTCTTGCCCATTTCCGGTTCACAGCAGTCGTGATTCAGCCGCGAGACAGAACGGAGGCTCCGAATGTTTCATATAATTTTCAGTGTAAAGTGAGTGCGCAAATAAGGGCTTTGCAGCCTGAGTGAAATAAGCAGGAAATAAGTGCGTTGCGATAGTTTAGAAAGTAAATGGATATTTTGCATTCCCCCAGTTTTTATTGTGCTACGTAACCGATTCATTTAAAAGAGGTTGATGGAAGCAGGTTCCTTCAGGAAAGCAGCGCTTTGTGCACTTCTCACGGCGGGTTTTAAGTGCACAATGCGCGCACGAGATTTGGAGTTTGGTTCAAAAACGTTTTTTGGAAGTGTTTGTGGTTTTGTATCACGGCCAGCACGCGTAGAAGAAAATTATCATCGACGGATCGCCTGCATTAGACCTGCCCTGTGTCTCCCTTCGTGATTCTGGATTATCTACCAACGCAATGGCGGGACGACAAGATTGATTGTACCGAGGTTAGTCCAAAACATTACTTATCAATTTAGGCTGCAGTTTTTAATTAAAAATCTTTATTTTATCACCTGTTCCAACAGTGATATCCGCACATATATTCAATGAGATGAATTTGATATCAATAGAATTTGTTAACATAAGATAGTATGGGTGAGAACAATTCGTCCACAATCAATATAGCCTATAAGAACCGTAAGTGAAAATGGCTTATCAGCGCCTAAATGTTTTAGTACATTTATCTTCCATTCCTCATTCTTCACACAATTTCCATATTATTTCCTTGTCAGTAAAAATACACTTTTTTGATGATGCATTGTTTATATTATTATTATTATTATTATTATTATTATTAGTAGTAGTAGTAGTAGTAGTAGTAGTAGTAGTATACTATTATTAATATACAGTAATAATAATTACAATCGTTAATGTTGATGTACGTACTAATATGTAAATTTTAGTTCTCACAGCTTAAATACATTAATGACCTTTTTCCAGTAGCTTTAAAGCAAATGAAAGGTCGGGAATTTCTAATATTGTGTTTTATATAATATTGTTGTTGAAATTATTTCTTAAGAATCAATTTGATGGAAACATTTTATTATATTTATCATTAGTAAAGATTTCACATTCCACTAAAATATTGACAACGCATTTAATATTTTAACTCTCATAAGTATACACCATAGCTGCGATTACCCACGCATTTTCTACTTATGAACAGAAAAACTCGGGTACCTTGTTTTTGTCTGATGTACTTCGTACAGATTGCCGTGGATCAACGTAAGAAAATAGTGCTAAAGTACTTTTTAAATTAATTTTTATGGCCTATATTTTACTGGCGAAACAATACGGACGGAATATTACACGTGATGAGACATGTGACTAGAGTGCACTAGAGAACGGAACATTGAGAATACTGTTTATTATGAGCCTTGTATCTTTTCATTCGTATTGTTTGAGATAT